CAGACACACTCACATTCTCTAGTTTCTTCCTCCACCCTTCCCTCCTGAGTCCCCCGTCCTAGATATCTCTCAATCCAATCGTTTGACAACCAAGACCATCTACTTAGTGACCATCACTGGCCGCCTGGACTCCTATGCCTCCAGTAACTCTCTGGAGCTCACCCTCTTGCTCCACACTCTCCTTACTCATCTACACATGCTGCTATTAGCAGCTTTATTTCAAAGGGCGACAAGGCGTTCATATCCCAGAGCTGCTGGTGGTCCTGTGTTACCTCTATCCCCAACGTGATGGGCAGTATCTGTGCACAGTCACCCCCCACAGTGTGTCTGCCTGTGCTTGGCTTTGTGCTATGGAGCTATAGGGAGGTCAGCCTTGCTTTGGGAAAAGACACACGGGCTGGATCCCGATGGGGGCAGCGTTGCAAGGCTATTCGGTTCCTGTGCTGCTGCTTGGTCCCTTGGAAAGTGTATGGTGTGTTCTTGGTGGCACATTTTCATCCCTGATAAGTAGGACAGAGTGACAGGTGGTGCATGGGAAATGGAGTTACAGAACTAATAATCCCCCAGCCCTGTGACAGGGACCTTGCAATTTGGGCTGTCTCCATCTGCAGGATTATTCTTAGTGAGGATTTAAACCGAACAGATGGTTCCGCTTGTCTAAAGTTGCTTCTGGAATGTTCTAACCTTTTCTTCCGCCAAGACACAGTGAGCGCAAGAGCACACCCCAGTGGCGCTGTGCTTGCTAGGTTCTATGTCTTGCATCTCAGGTTTCTCTCTGCCCTGCCCTGTGAGAGTGGGTACCTGTGGATATCCCTAACAGGAGCTGGGGGTTGAGATACCCCTTGGAAGTCTTCTCTATTCCTGCCTCCCAGATCACAGATGAGGTCAATTCTACCTGTACATGCACCATAGGAAAGTCAAACTCCACAAATCCAACCTGGAAAATTCCCATCTGCCAGGGGACAATAGCTAGATAGCCATTGCTATCTGCAGATGGGTAGATGGGGCAGAAGCAGTGGTTCTGACTGGTGAGACCAGGTGGTGGATGCTGGGGGTCAGAGGGGTTTGATGCAGACAGGAGTTGACTGGCGCTACCCAGTGGAATGCTGGGAGTCTCCTGAGAGCTCTGCCCTTGAAGTGGGCTTGGCCAGAGAGCTACCCATGGGCCCCTGACTTCATGGGGAACTTGTAGCCTGTGTTGTGCACTGCCACCAAGGAGTTCACACGGCGTTGTAACCGTCATTATAGGAATTGAGAGAAAATAGGTAAACACTTGCGAAACTAAAATGGGTGACTGGGCAGCAGTGGTGCCCGCCTTTAATCCCAGCACTTGGGAGGGAGAAGCAGGAGGATCTCTGTGAGTTCCAGGCGGCCAGGGCTACACATAGAAACTTTCTCTCAAAAAAACCCAAAAAGAGAGTGAGTAAGCAAGTGTGTGTGTAATCTCACAAGTCAGACAAAGGTTCTCAGAGTTTCTTATTCCTTTCTTCCTGTTTCCCAGGTAACCCTCTTGCCACGCTTGGGCTCTGTGGTGCATTTTGTTCTGACTATCACCATTGTACCACCTCTCTTCTTGTCGTTGTTTTTTTTTGGGGGGGGGGACAGGTTTCTCTGTAGCTTTGGAGCCTGTCCTGGAACTCACTCTGTAGATCGGGCTGACCTAGAACTCACAGAGACCCATCTGCCTCTGCCTCCCGAGTGCTGGGAGTAAAGGGGTGCGCCACCAGTTGGCTGTACGACCTCTCTTGTAGGTGCTCTCCACATTGTCTAGTCAATCTTCTCACGTCTCAAAGCCTGGCAAGCACACTTCTGGGAGGTATTATGCTATATAGCACTTGTGGGGTTTCTGGCTCTGGGTCTCTGAGCGGCTGTCTTAGTCTTCTCTTGTTCTGAAGAGATGCCACGAGCATAGCAACTCTTAGAAAGGAAAACGTTTAACTGGGCCTTGTTCATGGTTTCGAAGGTTTAGTCCATTATGGCCATGACAGGGAGCATGGTGGCAAGAAAGTAGACATGGTGCTGGAGAAACAGCTTAGAGTTCTACATCTGGATCTGAAGGCAGCAGGAAGAGGGAGACCCCAAAAGCCCACCCCCAGAGATACACTCTCTCCAACGAGATCACACCCACTCTAACAAGGTCATGCCTCCCAATCTCCTCCAAGTAGTGCCGCTCCCTGATGGCTAAGGTTCACACACAATAGTTTGTGGGGGCCAGTCTCAGCCAAACCACCTGAGTGGCTTGTGGACGTCAGGAGGGACGGACTGAGGGTCCCTCTTCCATTCCACTCTTCGCTTGCTCTGGGACTGAGTGTCATCAGCAGCTATGACAGAGCTTTTGGAAGCCACTGTAGCATCTTAAGGGAGGGAGAGAGCCAGTTCCAGCATGGACAAAGCTTTGTCCCCTTGGGAACTTAGGAGAGTGTTCTGGATGGGACAAGGTATTCCTCCTGCTCATCTGCTAGACATGCCTGTGTGGTCATGGAACTTGCTGTCAGATTGTAGCATTACCTCTGTTCCCACACTATGAAGCAATAGATGACTTCCTGGCAGACAAAGGCCGGGCCTGCTGGTCTCTGAAGAATATCCTGGTGACCTCCAGACAATGACCAGTGGCCCTTGAAATGTCTTATATGCACACCTTCTCTGAAAAAATGATGCTGTCCTGAGTCAACCTCTCCTTCTGGGTCACAAGCAAGAGGGAAAGACTTGGGTTAGAATATTATCTGTACTCAGGATATTGGCTTTCGGTTGAAGAGTTGACTTCTGAGATGTCAAATATAGAGATGATGATGTCCCCCAATATTCAGAAGAACTGTGATTTAACTCTAAGAACAAATTAGAAGTGGGCCTTTTCAGTTATGAAGAAACAGTATGGCTGGGCATTGGTGACTCAACATGCCTTCCAGGCTTTCCTGGTCTGCATAGCAAGCTAATTTCAGGTTGGTCAGGCCTGAATAGAAAGACTGTCGAAGAAGAAGTAGGAGAAGGAGAAGGAGGAAAGGAAGAAGAAGAGGAAGAAGAAGAAGAAGAAGAAGAAGAAGAAGAAGAAGAAGAAGAAGAAGAAG